CGACATTTTGTACGAGAGAGGGTCTCATCTCAAGAAATATGCCTCCCTTACATCACATCCAGTATGCAACTAGCAGATATCCTCACTAAAGCTATATCAAGAAAGAAGCTAGAAGTGGATCTATTCAAGTTGGGAATGATAAATATTTACTCCCAACTTGAGGGGGAGTGTAGAGAAATTGATGTGTGGGGCCAGTCTGTCCGTAGGGTAGAATATACCTAGTCTATCTGTTATGTTATTCTGTTATTTACTGTGGGGCCACTCTGTCCGTAGGGTAGAATATACCTAGTCTATCTGTTATGTTATTCTGTTATTCTAGTTCTGTTATTTACTTTTCAGTTTTTTATATTGTTAAGTGTTATGATGTAAACACCAAGGGCAAATATGTCCTTTCATGTAACTAGCATAACATATAAATATTAAATTGAAGTGGCGGCGGCAGATTATTTTAGAATCTGTCATTCCTTTCAAACCTGTGTTCTACTGCTCTCTCACTAATCCTTCTCCTCTTTCTTCTTCACTTTCTCTTCTGTTCGAATTTGAAATTCCTTAGTGTCCAAGACTGATAGCAGTCTTGATCATCTTCACCCTTTATATATATTTTCCTTTTTCTCTTCTGTATAAAGAACCTTCTAGAACTATGCCATGTCATCCAGGGTGGCCAGCTGTCAGCCACTAGTCTATATTCATAGTTTCATACTGCCTTTACAACTTACAATCACCATCTTGCATCTCAGGTTGATTACCGAACTAGGCTGGTCTGATTTTGGTTCAGGATGTATTAAACTGGGTCTTTTACAACAATGTTTCAAAACATTGAGGCATGATACAAGGCATTCCACTGTCCTCACTGTCCTGATGCATGAGGCATGGTTCAGAACATGAGGTGTGAAAGTGCAAAAAGTCCTAAGCCTCCTCAAGAAGAAGAAGAAGGTATACACGGAATATGCCTCTGTACATGCCTTTGTACTAGACAACTTGACTCATTAAGGACGGAAGGTGTCCCCTTCTTACTAGAGTCACCACCAAAAGTGGAAGAGGAATCCAAAAGATGGTTCCCTCCTCACTTGGTTGAACTGGTCTGTCAAATTTATCATCCTTCTTAGAATTGTATTGGTTAAGGGTGAAAAATGGATTGGAAGATTGAATCTAAACTCAAGTGAATAAAAATTTCATGGCAGTGTCTTGAAGAAACTTGTTATTTGAAACTGCTTTACTCTATGTTCCCAAAATATACATATTTTGATATTAAATATTTTGGCTGATTATGTGAATAGAGAACCCAATTATGAGAGAAAGGTAACTGATTTCATTAAGAAAAGAGAAGGGTACACAAGAAGGTTTACAAATATAAAGAAAAGAAAAACAAAAGCAGGGATCAGATCCTTATGTATTATACAGGTGGAAACTTATCAGAGTACAAATCTTCTAACAGAGCACCTAATTTTGCTAGTCAATCTGCAAGAGAATTAAATTCCCTTGGAATCCAAATCAGGTTTGCATTAGAAGCACTTGGTAAATCCCTTGCCTCCGTCAGAAAGTGACTGAGTCTCCACGACCCAGTCTCTTGTTTTCCTAACCATTTTATAGTGTGCTGAATTGCCTTCAGTGGAGAGGTTCTGAATACCTAATCTGTTAATTATTCTGATCCCTGTAAGTGCAGCCAACACTTTCTGCCTTGGTAGAATTTGCTATGCTTATCGGCCCACTATACACCCGGCAGATGTTCCCATTTTCATCCCTTAGAACTCCTCCTATGTCAGCAGCACCAGGGTTGCCTGAACCCAATTCCCCATCTTGAGGATTGCTGATTCATGCTATGATATGATGCACTAAGCTGGAGAATGATCATACCAAGATGTATCTATATTTCATCATCTAGATATTATAGTTCCACCAGTTTCAAGAATGCCCTTTGTGGATAATAAAAATAAGAAAAAATGGTAAAACTAAAATTTAAAGGAAAAAAACAAAGTAGAAACAGACAGTTGGCCTGTCTCTGATTATAAAACAGTTTCAGGCTGTTACTATATATATATATAAAGCTATGCACTATTTGACCAAGGAAAGTAAAGAACAGAGCCGAATTTGAACTAGTCCATCTAGGGCCTGGTTCATGGTCTGAATGGTTAAACTATGCTGTCCAGTATGTATTTCAGAAAAACTCCATGCTGATTATGAGAATTTCTTGTACTTCCTTCTACAATTGTCACAGAGAAACCTGAAAGATGTGAAACATTCTGTGTGCATCACCAGAAATGCTATCCTTTTGGTCTTGTCTATCTCTTAGATAAAAGCTGCTTTGACTTGATGCTTGTCATCAGGAGCATTTTATATGCATGCTAAATCTAGTCTAACTGCATTCCAACTTATGCATTTATAACTGGCAGTATAAAATGTCATCTCATTGACTTTTGCACATGGACTAAAATTCTTGGTCAAACAGGTATTATGGGCTGGCTTTGACAAGCTAGAGCTTGATCAATCTACCTTGAAACATGTGCTCTTACTTGGTTACTCCAATGGCTTTCAAGTCCTTGATGTTGAGGATGCTGCCAATGTCAGTGAACTGGTTTCTAAGCGTGATGGTCCAGTTACGTTTTTACAGATGCAGCCCATTCCTGAGAAGTCAGAAGGTTGTGAAGGGTTTAGAGCATCACATCCATTACTCTTGGTTGTTGCAGGGGATGAAACCAACTCCTCAGGTCCTGTTCATGGAGGGGGCTATTTGAATGGGGTGATCAGAGATGGTAATATTGATCCTCAACCAGGAAACTGTGTCTCTCCTACTGCTGTGCGATTTTACTCGCTAAGGTCTCATAGTTATGTTCACATGCTGAGATTTCGGTCAGCTGTGTATATGGTCAGATGCAGCCCTCGCATTGTAGCAGTTGGTCTTGCAAATCAAGTGAGAACTTATCAAACTCGATTCCATATTATATTCATCAATATTTTGAGTATGGAAAACTTAGATATTATCAATAAGAGGAATGCCATATTGCCATTGGATCTGGAGCATTTGCAGCAGGTTTGAAGCCTGCATCATTAAGTTGGCCTACACCAAACTGCTGGACTGTTTCAGAACTGTTCACCAAATTACTTTTAACAGTAGGATAGAGTACATTTTCTACTGTTGGCTTTTGTTATAGGAATTTTTCTAAATATACACACTATATTTTAGGATGTATATAGGTAAATATAGTGATATCCCACCTGCAGATACTGGATAGTTGTGGTTTTTTGATGGAGAAGTTTTGCGGTTACTGATCAATTGTCTTTTTTCTGTGCAGATATACTGCTTTGACGCCCTCACACTGGAGATGAAATTCAGTGTTTTGACCTATCCTGTTCCTCAGGTAGGAGGTCAAGGAGCAGTTGGAGTTAGCATTGGTTATGGTCCAATGGCTGTGGGTCCCAGGTGGCTAGCTTATGCTTCAAACAATCCTTTACTGTCAAATACAGGCCGCCTTAGCCCACAAAACCTTAGCCCTTCTCCAGGTGTTAGTCCGTCAACATCACCAAGCAGTGGGAGCTTGGTGGCTCGCTATGCAGTAGAGTCAAGTAAACATTTAGCTGCTGGCATAATAAATCTTGGTGATATGGGATACAAAACATTGTCTAAATACTGCCAGGAGTTCTTACCTGATGGTTCTAACTCTCCAGTATCGACAAATTCAGGGAGGAAAGTTGGTAGACTTGCATCATCAACACATTCAAATGAAACAGATAATGCAGGAATGGTAAGTACTTTATAAAGATTTTTTATTATTATTTTTTTGACTTCAGAAAGGGAAATTCACAGGAGATATTGTCTTAGAACTGTAAGAAAACTATACAAAGTAAAACTTAAGTATTATTCCATATTAGAAAGTATTGTTTTTAGTAAACAAATCACGACATGAACCTATGATTTTAAGACTCATAACTCATAAGTCACAAGCCTTTATCAGGTCAGTATGGCAAAAATCAATTGGTTGCTGGATATATAAGATCTTGAGTGAAACTTCAGCTGTTGAAACTTCACTGGTGGCGGATAATGACCCATGTGCGGCAGTAAAAGAAGGTGGGGGAGGAGATAAAGACAAGGAGGAGGAACAAATTCTGAAATTGATTCAAGTGATGGATTCTGAAATGGAAGCTGGGGTAAATGAAACTATTGTAGGCATAGAAGAAAAGGAAAAGGAATTCTGTGGGTTAGATGAGAGAGAAGATGTTTGCAGAGAGCCACCCAAACTAAAAGGAAAGGAACAAAAAGATGCCAAAGGGAAATTTGCCAAAGGGAAGGTCTATCTTAGAAAGGAGGCAGAAGATGACAAAAAAAGAAAGAGGAGAATGAATGAGGTGGAAAAGCTAGCCTGTGGTGTATCCTATGAGAAGTTTGTCAATAGGAAGAGGGAGAAGAAAAGAGGAGAATAGGAATTGGGAATAAGAATGGGTCTAGAAAACAAGTGGAAAGAAGAGGAGATTTATCAGGAATGTGATAAGAACAGAGACCGGTAATAGTCATGCTACAGGAAACAAAACTTTCGGATTTGGATGGAAGATGGATAAGAAGTATCTGGAGTAGTAGGGGTCTAAGTTGGTTTTTTGCCCCGTCGTGGGGTGCCTCGGGTGGGATCCTTACAATTTGGAAGAATGAGGAAGTTGGGTCCCCAACTCCTGATGGTTTATTTTCTTGTGCATCTTTCTTTGGTTTGCTCATTCACTCTGATCCTTTGGGGGTGAACTTCCCAGTGAGAGAAATCTGGTGTAAACCAATCCCTCCAAAAGTACAAGCTCTCTGTTGGGAAGTGTTCCTAGGGAAGGTAAACACTTGTGATGTGCTACAAAAAAGGAGGCCAAACAAATGCCTCTTTCCTCATGTGTGTCCTTTGTATGGATTGTGGTGAAACCCTACCCCACTTACTTTTATCCTGCTCTTTTGTTTCTGGTATTTGGAATGTTGTTTGTTCTCTCTTTGGATGTAGATGGGCTCCCCCACAGGATGTGGTAAGTCTATTCAGCCCCTCCTTGAGACAACAGAAGAAAAGAGGAAAGTGCTTATGGAAGGCAGCAAGAGCTGCTACAGTATGGACTATATGGGAGGAAAGAAACCTAAGACTTTTCTCTGAAAAAAGTAAATCAAAGGAGGAAGTCATTGAAGCCATAAAAAGCAGAACTGCACATTGGGTGATGACCATGGAGCTATTCAAAAATTTCTCCACGAATGAGATTCTAAGAAGTTGGACTGAAGTAGCACAAACAGACACCCAAAGTAGGTGTGAGAGTGGAATGGAAGCCACCTGCACTGAACAGACTAAAACTAAACTTTGATGGGAGTTTCTTTGGTAACCCAAGAAGGGCAGGCATAGGGGGTGTGATTAGAAATCATCTGGGTGTGGTGGTGGTACTCTTCTCAGGACCAATAGGTATTGGTGACTCAATACAGGCTGAATATCTAGCCCTACTTCAAGGTCTAAAGATGGCTGAGCAGATAGGATTAACGGATTTAGAATTAGGAGACTCACTACTGATCATTTCTTGGGGTAAAAACATCACATCAGTACCTTGGAAGCTCAAATTTATCTTCAGAGAAATTGACATACTTGCAAGGAGGCTCAAGTCTCAGTTTGGTTGGGTCAAATGGAATGGCGGATACCCTAGCAAAACAAGGGGCAAATAGATCTACCTTGTACTGGGCAGAACTGTAGCTGCTTGTATGTGGTTGCAGATTAGGTTAATGCATTTCTGCAACTTATAACTATTGTAACTGATTGTAACTTTTTCTCTGTTATTAAAACAAAATTTTTGCTGATAAAAAAAAGATTGTTTTCCTTATCATAGTCCTTCGTGTATCTTCGACTGAGTTGGGACTTTCTTGGAATTTGGGATTGAGAAGGGGATTAAAGGATTCAGAGTTTCTTATGGTTCTTGACCTATTGTCACACCTGGGGGAAGTCTTGATGGCTCTATTAGCTGATCACAGAGTTTGGACATGTATGAATTCTGGGTCCTTTACATGACTTATTTTTTTTCCTGCCCTTTCCTCCTCCCCACCCCCACCTCCAGGCCTTTTCTTCTGAGAGCTATTTAGTGTAAGCCAATCCCACTCGAGATCAGTGCTCTTTGTTGGGAGGTTTTCTATTTGAGAATCAACACTTACGAGGTTCTACAAAGCGAAGACCCAACTGGCATTTATCACCCCACTTTTGACTTTTATGTAAAGCAAGTGATGAAACTAGAAACTACCTACTGATCTCTTGTTTTTATGCCTCTAGTATTTGGGAGCACTTCTTTGCCTACTCCAGATGTAGTGGTCTCCTCCAGAGGATGTGATTAAGTTGTTTGATCATAGCCTTTTCTCTCTATCAAAGAAAAGGGGGAAGATATTATGGAAATGTGTTGGAGGCTTAGAGCTGCTGTCTTTTGGTCAGTTTGGTTGAAAGGAATGCAAGAATCTTTAAGGAAACATTCAAACTAGGAAGCAGTGATTGAGAGAACATTATAGTAGAAGTAGTTCATTGGGATATAACCCTATCTCTCTTTAGCACTTTCTTGATGGACGACTTATTAAGTGGTTGGAAACATACTGCTTCATCATTATCTCTACTCAGTTCCTCATCATGGTTCTCTCCTCCAGCTTACTACCTCAAGCCAAACATTGGTGGCTGCAGCATGAGAAATCCAGGACAGTCGGTGTAGGAGGTGTTTTTAGTCATTTTGATGGTACAGTTGCAACATTGTTTTCAGGTTCAATATGGTATGAGAACTTGATAAGAGCAGAACTATTGGCTGTAATTCAAGGTCTTAGAATGGGGAAAGACCTTGACTACAATCAGCTGTTGGTAGAGGGGGATTCAAAGGTTGTGGTGGGATGCTCAAGAGCAGCAGCATGGAGCCATGCAGTACAGGCATATTCTTAGAGACACAAGACATCTTGCTACAGACTTGGGAGCTGCATTCACCTGGGCTCTGAGATACTGCAACAGTATGACAAGATGACTTGGCCAAACATGGAGTCAACAGAACAGAACTGTATTGGGAATCAGTCATTGGGAAAAAGGATGATGATGTAGACTAACAAGGGACAGGAATATGGATTAGGTAGCAAGCTAGCCTAATACTTTGGGATGCTTGGTGTATTCCTTGTATATTACTGTCATTTTTTTACACAAAACTTATCCTTTCTTTTTCATATCATATATGTCTTCACAAATCTTAAATCATCATCAGCATCATGCAAGCCTTATCCAAACTATATGGGGTTGGCTATGATAGTAGCACTGGCTGCCAACCTGATGCAACTGTCCTCCTTTATCCAGGCTTTGAACCAGCGTTGTAAGACAAACACACAAATCTTAAATTGTCATCTTCACAAATCTTAAATGATCTATTAAAATGTTGCTCGATCCACAAAAGTATCAAAATGTGAGATATCACTAATTGATTCTGCTGTATCATACTCCATGCTGATCTAACTATGGCACAAAATGATTTTTGCTTCCTATGGTTAAAATTGTTGGTTGCAGGTTGTTGTTAAGGATTTTGTTTCTAGAGCAGTTATTTCACAATTTAGAGCTCATACAAGTCCAATATCTGCACTATGCTTTGACCCAAGTGGGACCCTTTTGGTTACTGCCTCTGTACATGGAAACAATATAAATATATTCAGGATTATGCCATCCTGCATTTCAACTGGATCAAGCACCCCTAGCTATGATTGGAGCTCTTCTCATGTGCATCTTTATAAGCTATATCGTGGAATTACCTCAGCAGTAAGCAATTAAGCATTTTTCTTTTAAATCTTTCCAGATATTTGGTATCTATTCTTTTTGCACTCTTCATTGGTTTATTTGTGAATGGTTTTTCAATATCTTCTTTCATGGATGTTTGTCTTTCAGGTGATACAAGATATCTGTTTTAGTCATTATAGTCAGTGGATAACCATTGTTTCCTCGCGGGGAACGTGTCATGTGTTTGTTCTATCTCCTTTTGGTGGTGAGGTTGGTCTTCAAACACAAAATTCCAGTAGTGATGGGCCCACCCTCTTACCAGGTCTATCTATTCCATGGTGGTCTACTTCATCCTGTATGGTAAACCAGCAGTTGTTTTCGCCTCCACCATCCATTACACTCTCTGTTGTAAGCAGGATAAAAAACAGCAATTCTGGTTGGCTTAATACGGTTAGCAATGCTGCAGCTTCTGCAACAGGAAAAATATTTATTCCTTCTGGTGCTGTTGCTGCTATTTTCCACAATTCTGTATATCGTGGTCTTCAGCACTTGCCCTCAAGAGCCAATGCCTTGGAGCACTTATTGGTTTATACGCCATCTGGCCATGTAGTTCAACATGAACTTCTTCCGTCCCTGGGAGCAGAACAAAGTGAGAACAGTTCAAGAACTGGATCGGGTTCTAATATGCAAATACAAGATGATGAGTTGAGAGTGAAGGTGGAACCTCTTCAATGGTGGGATGTTTGCAGAAGGTCTGATTGGCCAGAAAGAGAGGAATGCATTTCTCAAGTTTCCTTTGATAGACAAGAAGCTTCCGAGACAATCATGGATAGTTCTGATTCTGAAGATAATGATGTGAAGTATATGATGGAACAGAATACTAGCATTGTGGGGAAAGAGTTACTTAAATCCCATGAAAGACCTCACTGGTATCTTTCCAATGCAGAGGTGCAGATTAACTCTGGGAGGATTCCCATTTGGCAGAAATCTAAGGTACCTCTTTTAATTTGAGTTGTAAGATACCCTAACATGTCATTGTGTTATGTTCTGGTTATGATTCTTTCACATTTTTCTAGATTTCCTTCTATATGATGATTCCCTTGAGGACCAATGAGAGGTGGCCTACTAAAGATTGTGCCGGTGGGGAGATTGAAATTGAGAAGGTTCCTGTTCATGAAGTTGAAATAAGAAGAAAGGATTTATTGCCTGTTTTTGATCATTTCCATAGTATCAAATCAGATTGGAATGACAGGTAATAACAAATTTTGTCTGCATTTCCTTGCAGGTTGTGGCTATTATTTAATATTTAGTTGTGTGTTCCTTTTCATGTGAGATGGATTGGTATCTTGCAAAGATTTCTAGTTCCATGGACTTCCACTTATATTTCTGGTTTCTCTGTGTTTCCACTGTTAACTTATTGGATCGGGCTATGTTTGAAACTTGTTTTTTCCTCTTTTTCTGTGTAAGAGTAACAAGTGAAAGGCTAAATCTGAGACTGAATATTCACTTAGAGAACTCTACATTTAAATGTCAAAGAAATCATGGAACTTTTACTTTTATCAATTTTATTTATACTACTTGGTACCAAAATTTTTGAGGTATAAAATGAAAACTGTGGAGGGGCAAGGAAACCCCTGAAAAACTTCATTGCTTTTTCACTGTGCCACACGTACAACATAAATAATTATTGGCTTTCAGAAGATTCAGAGATGATTCTTTTCCAGACATCACATTGAAACATATTTAGTTCTGCTATTTTAATTAAAATGTGAACATATTAAATCAGATCATATCATTTGCTACCTGACCTTTTCAATATATCTGTTTTATTTTGAAGATATTCATGAACTTCACAACTATGCTTCTTGCTTAGATTTACAAAAATTGCCTTCTCTCCCATTTCTTATATCGTATCTTTTGGGTTCTGAAACACCTGTTGGAACCCTCTTTTTTTAATTAAAAAATATATAAAACCCTACCCAAAAACCAATTTAAAAACCTAAAAAAATATAAAAGTGCATGCTTTTTAGTACCAATACGCTTCTGCCGATACACAGGGGTGCATCAGTACTTTGAACCTTGCTTATATCCAAGGATCAAAATTTCAATACGCTACGCCCCATGTTGGGCGTATTGTATCATATCTTTTGGGTTCCGAAATACCTGCTTACAGGTGTTTCGGGAACCCTCTTTTTTGAATAAAAAATATGTATAAAAACCTACCCAAAACCAATTTTTGAAAAAAAATAAAAGCGCATGCTTTTTGGTACCGATACGTCTCTGCCGATACACAGGGGCGTATTGATACTTTGAGCCTTGCTTATATCTGCAGTTAATAAAGGCAATATAAAGTTTTTTGATTGATAAACACACAATAAAAAATTTACAAAAAATGTTTTCCAAATAAGCAATAAATATTTGTCATAGCATTATAAAAAACAGCTCTTCCATTATCTAGCATATTTGCACATTTGAGATTTAGTTTTATTCTTTCTATGTTTTTCGTAAGATTTTCTATCCCATTGTATAATTAAAAGACTAGGATATCTGCTTGCTTGTCTAATGCAGGGGTCTTGTTGGTGGAAGATATATGAACTCTTCTTCTGATACTCCCGGAACTAAGGGCAAGTTCACTGAAGAGACTGTTACTTGCCATTCTAAGCCAGCTTCTCTTGGATCTGTGGGAAGCTCAGATGGGGGTAAGAACATCTGAATTAAGAGGCATTTTTTTTTTTAAGCATATAATGGTTTGGATATTGCTTTGAAATTTTGTATACAAGGTCTCAATAAAATCTTGTATGCTAATTCCTGGTCACTTGGTATGAAACTTCAAAGTTCAAATAAATGGTGCATTCTTGAAATTTATTATTGATTTATTCTATAAACAAATCCTCATTTTGTTCTTTATCTCCATTAGGGTCTGTGAGAACTGAATCTTTACTTGATTTGGATCAAATAAATACCATGAAATCTTCTGTATCTGTGAATCCAACTGCGAGTGAGACCAATCATGATACAAAGGGGAGTCTCAGTAATTCATCATCCTTTCTAAGCCCAGATCCTTCTGACCAAGTGGATGGAACATTCCCTTCTGAACATTGTACCAAGTCTGATAATCTTGTGGGGGATAGTTCTGTTATAAATGGTTTATCCTCTTCACCTTCTGTTGGAAGTCCTCTCACCAGTGGTGCTCTCACAAAAACTGGTGTGATCAGTGAAATATTGAATGCAAGTTCTGATTGTTCAACCTTTGGTATCAAAACTTCTGCTGATGGGCCTGGGCATGTGGAGTTGCAAGAGCCACTAGATTTTGGGCAGTATTTTGATGAGGGCTATTGTAAAGTGACAGAGCTTGATGAATGTCGTGACTCCACTGAAGTTGTTACTGATGCTGACAGCAATAGCAGCCATTGTGAGAGAGATAAACCTGAAGAAGGAGACAATGATGACATGCTTGGGGGTGTATTTGCCTTCAGTGAGGAAGGTAATAATCCACAAATTATTTATATGACTTCATCATGTATGGTTTGATTGTTTATGCACACCGTTGCAATAGCTGCCACTGAATGGCCATATGATCACCTTAACAAAGAATGGCAGTATGATAGAGTGGTTATCCTTGTTATTTCTAATGTAAGGATTTAACTCTAACTTTGAATTTCTATTGTGATGTAGGGTGATCTCTACCTCTATCCTCAAGTCCAAGAATAGCTGCATTCATTATACCTACCCGCTATTCATATTCAAGGATTTTGTGGCAAGGTTTTCTGGATGCCTTCTAAAGAGGTCAGATCAAGATTATTTCCAGACTCCTATTGAAGTGCAAGATTTCAATTTCTAACTGAAAAGGCTACTGGTTCCATGGATCAGGGGAGGGCATGTCAACCACTTCAACCAAAGTGACTCTCCCTCACATTCTTGTACATGTTGTAGATGGAAATTCATAATTCATGGGAGGCTAGCTTTTGGGTGTGGGGAAGTTTGGACTTTTGGGTTTATTCCCTGTCTTGAACTTTCTATCGGGTTTTCTGTACAGATGATTTCAGTGTAAACAGGTTCTTTCTCTAAGCTGTGTAACAAATATTTTTTCTAAAAAAAGGAAAAAGAAGATTAAACAACTCGTTACATTGTGCAAGCAAAATCATCTTTTAGCTGTCTGGCTTCTTGCAGTGGTGAATCTCTGAAAAAAAAGGAAAAGAAAACCTTACCACATTTTATTTCCTCTTCAATCCTGCCTTCACCTGTTAATCAACTGGTTGACCACACTGACTAGCTCAGTGAGGAGATAAAATTGAGGTTTGAGTTCGCTCCTTGAGCACCCTAGAGCCCTTAGGAGTTGAAGGTTTATTTCAGATAGGAGTTGGCTATATGGAGGGATTTTGGCCATTCTACTACTGAGGCAGGTTACAGAAATGCAGAGGTAAGAGGACAATGGAGACTCAGTCATAATTCTGCAATACTGAAAAGATAGTTAAGCAGCTGGATCTAGAATTATTCGGACCGCTAAGTTTAGTAATACTTTTCAAGGCAACTGGAAGATCGTATTAGATTGGTACAGCTTTGCGTTAACAAGGCCAGACCATATTGGAGTAGGGGTGAGCAAAAGAACTGAAAAACCGAACCGACTATTTTGGTTCGGTTTCGGTTAACCAATAAAGAAAACTGGTAGATAACCAAACCGACCGGGTATACATATATTTTTATATATTTTATATATATTTACGTATATTATATATATGCTTATATTTTTTATATATTATAAATTAATAAATATGCATTATATATAAATATATATTTATAATATATGATATATTATTTATTATTTAAAATATAATATTTTATATATATTTATAATTTTTATTATATTTATATATATTTATAATAAATATTGTAAAAATTAAAAAACTGAAAAACCGATGGTTAACCGAACCGATCAACCGGTTAACTAATAGGTTTTGATTACCGGTTTTCCAAAAACCAGTACTACTAGTTCGGTTACAAAATGAGCCCTACAGTTCGTTTAACCGAACCGTGAGCACCCTAATTGGGAGAGCCTGGTTGTTAGCAGAATTGAACTCGAGATGGGTAGGGATCTGCTACCAACGTCATACTTCCAACACCGTCCATTTGCATTCATAGCTGGAATGGCAACGGGGCGGCTTCGGGGTGGGGATTACATTCCCCATCCCCGACCCCGACCCTGACCCCTAAATCACCCCCCCATTCTCGTCCTCGATCCCCGTCGGGGAAAGGAATCCTCCTCTATCCTTGACCCCGACGGGGATGAATTCTCCGTTAGGGACCCGAATCCTTGAGGGTCACTACAAAATCCAGATTCTTAACCCTAGAACAGCTGGAGCAAATACAAAGAATCAACAGACTCCAAAAGATACGAATAGCCACCAACTCTTGCACCAAAAAAAGGAAAATAGGAAAAAAAAGCAAAGAATCAACAAAAATCCAAAGCACTACCATTCAAATCTTTAGATTATTTGCTGAGAAACCCATTCAAATTTGTCGAGATTATCTGCCAAAAAACCCATTCAGATCTTCTCCTCCACCTCTTCTTCATTGAGTGGTAGACTAGTGGTCGGCGACGTCCGATGTTCAACAGTAATGGCGATAGCGATGGCGGTTGACAAATCGACGACGAAGACGAAGGAAGAAGAAGACTGGGTTCTGGCCCTTCTGGGTTCAGAGTTCTCTCTTCGCTGTTAGTTTCTCTGTCGAAGTCTCGAAGACTGGACACTTCGAGTGTTTTTTAAGTTTTAATAAAAAATGAATAATATAAATATTATAAATAATATATAGTATTATATATTATATTATATATATAATTATATATAGATTAATTGGGGTCGGGTCGAGGCGGGGATTGCATTCCCCATCCCCGTCCCTGCCCCCGATCGGGGATTCAAGGATAGCCCCATCCCCGACCCCAACCTTGTCAAAATACCCCCCATACCTGACCTCATCGGGTCGGGGAGACTGAGTACCCATCGGGGATGGGAAAAATTGCCACTCCTAATTCATAGCGGCTGGTTGGGACATGTTGGGAGCATCTGGTTGGTAGCAGATCTGTACTCGAAATGGATAGGGATCTGTTAGCAACAAAACTCTTCAAACACTGTCCCAACTAGCCATTGCAGCCGTGCAGGAAATGTTCCCAATATGCGTAGTGGTCAGGCCAGGGACGTGTTGGGAATACACAGATTGGTTTTTTATGACATGTTCCAACACTCTCAGGCACATCCATCGTGCATTGGGAACATCGGCTTATAAATACGGAATACGTTCTCAATCAATGGATATGACTAAGCCCACCATAAAGGTAAGACCTGGTCTCGATCCAACACTGCACATCTCACCATATGACTAAGCCCACCATAAAGGTAAGAGAAGACCCATTATATATGAGATGTGCGGTGTGAGATAATATTGGGATGGTGTTGGGACGTATTTGATTGGCAGGTGATCCGGATTCGTTTATGATTGGCTTATCAGTCAAGGTCTTCCACCAGTGGCAGTTTTAATTAATTAAATGGGCCTTGGGCCGATGATCGTTTACGTCTGTCTGATCCTTGTCTTGAGATTGGAGATCAGCTCATCAGATCCCTTGATCTTCTGACAATGTGATGAAAAGATTTCGCTCACCAAAGCGTCCTTCTTCTTCCGATCAGTTGAGTTCACTGATTGACACGTAAAAGAGACAGGAGCGTTGCAGCTGGCAGCTGCTCCACGCTCCTTTTCTCTCTCTCTGAACTTTGGAGGAGGAACGGCGCGATCATCTTCCTGTTGGAGATTTTATGCGAAGAATACCAAAGTTAAGATAATCTCGCTATATGTTACAGCAGCAACCTTTCCCAGTCTCTTCGACATGAACATGAGACGAGCGGGTTTATCTCTGCGTGCAATCATCTCTTTGCTCTCGATTTCGTTGATCCTTCATGAGTCTGCGGGCTCGCATTCCCCTGCTTGGATTATTTCCCATGCTAAAGTAAAGCAGGTCTCCTGGAAACCAAGGTAATTTTCTATCTTTTTTATTTCCTTTTCTGTTTGCATCTCTTCTGCTAAGCCATATGATTTGCAGAGCTTTTGTCTACGAAGGTTTCCTTACGGACGAAGAATGTGATCATTTGATATCTCTTGTGAGTCTAATTTCTTCTATTCGATTCAAACAAACGATAGTTAATTAGTTTGAAGTGAGACCTGTCCTGGAACTTTCCTGTATTAATTTTCTTCTCTTTTGTCCTTTTTCTAATTGTATATCGATCCTTTTTCTTGTTTCTACTTCCTTCGGCGGTGGGGATGTCAAAGGCGAAACCGGAACTCAAGAGATCTGCTGTTGCAGATAATGTTTCGGGGAAAAGCAAGCTAAGCGAAGTGCGAACTAGCTCAGGGATGTTTATCCAGAAGGGAAAGGTTGTATCTTGTGTGTCCTTATTCTCGTTCAACTAATTTACTCATATATGAGTCGGAATTTCACCGTTTTAGTTTTGTTACATAAAATTAATGGTTTCTGGCGTTTTAGTTTCACTAAATCTTTCTGACCCCCTTCCTTTTTCTTCTCTTTGTCATCCCATGTTTCTTTTTTTTTTTTTTTTTCTTTCTTTCCATGCTCTGATAATCTCTCTGCAAGTTGCGAATGCTTATTTATTTCTTTTATTTAATGCAATGTTGTTGTTCTTTTTCCTTGATAACATTATAAGTTAATAAGCAATGCCATATGTACACAGGATTATCTTTAAAGGAGAAGTTAAACATGTTCAAAGTCCATGGTGTGAGTGATTGGCATTGTACTCCTTTACTAAATCAGTGAATGTTATCGTTTCCAATACAAAAATACTGAAATTGAAGCACGGGCAAACTAATGTGCAGTTGAGCACCATGCTCAGCCTTGCCTCCGTCCTTCCAATAGGTCCTGAATAAGGTTCGCAGGCTCTGCAACATGCTGCCTAGCATGATTTCATCCTCAAGCCCCTCTTTGAACCAACCAAGGCAACCGTGTAGATTATGTGATATACCCACCCATAAGTCCTAAATGTCAATTCCAAAAAAAAAAAAAAAAAAAGAAAAAATTGGTCTTAAATTCTAAAAAAAACCTATCCCAAATGTAAGCCATGTGGTAGCAAAGCAAGCCAGATATGGTGTAATTTGCTCATATATATTTTTCTTAAGACAGTAAAAATGAAAAAGGGTGTCTTGATTGGGTGTGTTGATTTCATCAAGGGCATATTCGGAGAATGATAACTAGCATGAGAACAACCAGAGGAAGACATGACTTGAAACAGGTCCCCATTTAAGATTGATGACCAAGAGATATCAAAAATCAACCATTTCTTGACATCAAAGTATGTCCTCCCCCTAATACATCCACGATATTCTGCCTCTCTTCTTAGAAGGTGAAAAGAAGGTCTAAACAAGATGACTAGAGAATCCAGTGGATGCCACCTCCAACAAAACAAAAAGAAGAAAAACTCAAATGCATGATGCAAAGTGGCAGGAGATTAGTGGGTGGAATCACATTATTCACTTGCTTTACAATGATGACACACTTGAGGTGAAATGCACCAAAAAGGACTCAATCATATCATACACCTTTGGGTTCTTTATTTTGTAAGTCTTTGAAGCATCTTGTTTATTAGGTTAGTCGTTCTCTTCTTAACTATCATGAATTGACATGTGATTTGGTTAGGATTGAATCAATTTCAAAAATCAGTATGATAGATGGAAATTTAGCTATGGTCTTCATAGGGAGAACAAAATGATATTCCACTGCCTCAGCACCTTGACTAGAAGTAGAACACCACTTTTTTTTTCCCATAATTTCCTCTACTAAGTTGCCAATTTTTTGATAAATCCCTTTGCCATGTTCTGTTTTTGTTTTCCTTCTGCCATCTTTTTGTCAAATAGTTCTAGGAAGCATTTTGTGGATTCACAAAATTGGAATACTTGATTGTGGAAATTTTATATTCTGAATCTGATCAATGATTATTACAGTTTTTTTTTTTTTAATGCATGGGCATGGAGCAAGGCATTAGGATTTTTGATGTGAGGTTTGAGCGTTATCAGGTCTCATTATTTAAGGAGCAAATGTGAACCAAATTGAGAAAATAGTGTATAGTTATGCAAAAAAGGATTATATATATTAGAAAAAAATATATAGGTGAATTAATCATCACACAAGGAAGGATCATAAAGTAGTAAAAGCTTTCCTTCAAACCCTTATTGGAAATCTGGTACTGTAAATTAAAACTTCAAATGGGTATTGAAAACCCCAAATATCCATACAAATTAAAAAATACATACCTAGAAATCTTAGATTTTTTTTTTTTATCAATAACAAAGGATTTCATTAATTAAAGAAATAGGATTACAAAGGGGAAATAACCTCTCTTATCTCCCCGACAAAAGAAACATTGCAAAAAATTACAGTTGAGCCCAAAACAAGTCCTCCCTATTCACCCCTTGTTTTGCTAACCCATCAGCTAAGGAATTTGCACATCTCTTAACCCAAGCTACTTTAACTTCCATTTCTTTTGTCAAGCATTTGAACTTTTTCTTCTCATTGTTGTACATCCACAGACCAGTTTTATCCCCCTTTAGCCAATCTATCACCAGCTTAGAATCTCCTTCAATGATCATCTTCCCCAAATTTAAGTTCTTAGCTCTCTGAACACCATCTAACGCTGCCAAAATCTCAACTCTAAGAGAATCTTCCGCTTCAATTGGACCTGAGAACAAAATAGTAATGTTCCCTTTCTCGTCCCTTATAACACCCCCAATACCTGAAGGCCCTAGGTTGCCGATACTACTTCCATCAAAGTTCAATTTATAGAATCCGTTTGGAGGGGGGGGGACCGAATTGGAACTGAAACCTCTTGAACCGGGGATGAAAAGGCAATTTCTTTCCATTTTCTTGACAAATCATCTATTGAGACATTGTTGAAAAGATCAATTGATTTAAGCCAATGGAATACCCTGGAACAAATCACCTCCTAAATGGTTTCCTTATTCCTCTCTCTCCCTGAAAAGATTCTGGAATTCCTTTCTTCCCATATAATCCAAACAACAACAGCTTTCACACAATGCCACATTATTCTTCCCCTTTCTTTGGCAATCTGGAGAAGGAAGGAGCAAACAAACCTTTCACATCTAATGGAGGGCCCCACCTACACCCAAACAAAGAAGAAAACCATTCCCATAAACCTTTAACAAATGAATAAGAGATCAATAAATGGTAGCAATTCTCACCAGAAGCCTTACAAAGACAGCACCATTAAGGAGACAAACAATCTTTGGTCTTTTTCTATGAAGCACATCATAGGTGTTAATTCTTTCTAGGTAAGCTTCCCAACAAAAACAACCAATCCTAGGTGGGATAGGTTTGCTCCACACTTCTTTAACAGAGGAAAAGGTAGAACCCCAATAGATTCCGGTTGGGTTAGGGTGTTGAAAAAGAAAGAGCAAGTAAACAAACCATGAGGAGTGGGGGTCTAGATTCTTTTATCAGCTTAATGAGGGTCCAACTACACCCCATCAAATACACTCAAGAGAGACAAAGTACTACTTAACTCAGTATCCTAATAGCCCTTCTTAAGCCCAAATCCCAACCAAAACCGGAACTGGAATTGTAAGGAACCTGGAAAGTAGGGATAGGTTGATAGGATTGCTGGTCGTGTTACAGAAGAAGAGCTGGTTCAAGGGAGCTCACCCTCCTGAAATGGACGAGAGAGAGAGAGAGGAAGAGAAGAGAAGAGGAGAGATGAGAGAAACTCAGAACTATTTCATTCATGCCACTAAATTGATTGCTACAGATATTTATAACTGCTGATAGTGGCTTGTAACAACCCAACAAACTCTGCTCAGATCTCTGGACGTGGACGGCGCGTGTAAACAAATCTCAGAGGAGGTGCTGCTCGCCTGAGTTGTGGGGTGTGCTGACCTGGGTCCAAAGTGTCCTGGGCCTGGCTCTCCATAACTGGGCCTGCATCTGGGCCGGTCCTAACATAGGCTCATTTTTATAAAGTGACAAAGCAAACACAAAAGGGTACTCATCCCTCAATGGAGAATTTTGAATACTGACAAAAAATAAACAGGCAAGTTAGCTAGAGTGGACCTAATTAAAGTAGCCCTTCCTCCCATGAATAGGTAATTTCTTTTCCAAGAGTCAAGTCTCTTTTCTCCACCACCGGGGACCAGAAACTCACTTTCCTAAGGTTATCACCTAGAGGAAGACCTAAGTATTTCATAGGCCAACTAGATATTGCGCACCCCAAAGTATCAGTACACTCATCCATCTCCCCCTCTCCCATATTTACTCCAGCTATGCAACTTTTCTCAAAATTTACCTTTAAATTTGACATTTGCTCAAAAAGTTGCACCACAACTTTGAGATTCCTCACCCACCCCAATCTCCACCATCACAAAACAGAATTGTATCGTCAACAAACTGTAGATGAGTAAGAGATACTTCTTCCCTACCAATTCTCCATTCTTTTGTTAGACCCCTTGCATTTGCCTTTGAAATCAATCTCCCCAACACCTCTACTATTAGGGTGAATAGGAAAGGAGGGAGAGGGTCTCCTTGTCTTATACCCCTTAAGGCTAGAAAGAAATATACTACTGTTCCGTTCACTAGAATAGAATAATGATAAGTCCTCAAACACCCCATTATCCATTTGCACCATCTACCTCCAAAACCAAAGCATCCCATCACCTCCCTCAAGAAGGACCAATCCACCATATCATATGCTTTTTCTAGGTTGAGCTTTCACACCAATCCTTTCCTCCCAGACCTCCTCATATCCTCCACACATTCATTAACTATCAGAATTTGATCCACAATTTGCCTCCTCTACACAAAAGTCCCTTGGTTGGGGGAAATGATGGTAGGAAGGACAAGCCTAATCCTGAGAGATAACACCATAGCAATGATTTTGTACAAACTATTTACCAAGCTGATTGGTCGAAAATCTCTCAGGTGGGTGGCATTGGATTTTTTTGGCACCAAAGCAATGAAAGTGGAGTTCAAGCCTGGATTAATTACTCCTCTCTTGTAGAAATCTTAGAATTCATATCTAACTCATTTTTGTGATGAGAACTCTATTGCATTTAATGTGTAAAAATATTATTTACATAAGGGACCTCAAGATGTTTTTTTTTTTTTTTGAGCAATAACACTTTCATTAAATCATCAGTAGAAAATTTACAGGAGGAAGACAAACACACTTATCTTCCAAGAGCCACAAAGAGCCTCATGAAAGGAAAAAAAGAAGAAAAAGAGAAAAGAAGACACTAAAGTTACAGCTTAGCCCAAAACAGTGAATCCCTTTCTGCCCCTTGTTTAGCTAAACCGTCAGCTAGGGAATTAGCCGATCTTTTAACCCAACATGTCTTAACTTCCATCTCCCGCACCAGCC